AAGGGGAGGGGGGTGAGAAAGCCTGGATTTGTGCTGGACATGGCCCACCTTGATTACCATGCACATTGAAGGGAGAGTGGTCACTTTGGATGAGCTATTACCAGCAGGAGAGTGAGTTTGTGTGTGTATGGGGGTGGGGGGGTGAGAAAACCTGGATTTGTGCTGGAAATGGCCCACCTTGATTATCATGCACATTGTAGGGAGAGTGTTCACTTTGGATGAGCTATTACCAGCAGGATAGTGAGTTTGTGTGTGTGGTTTTTGGAGGGGGATGAGGGGGTGAGAGAAGCTGGATTTGTGCAGGAAATGGCCCACCTTGATTATCATGCACATTGTGAAGAGAGTTGTCACTTTGGATGGGCTATTACCAGCAGGAGAGTGAGTTTGTGTGTGTGGGGGGTGTGTGTGGGGGGGGGGGGGCGGAGGGTGAGAAAACCTGGATTTGTGCTGGAAATGGCCCAACTTGATGATCACAATGGCCCAACTTGATGATCACTTTAGATAAGCTATTACCAGCAGGACAGTGGGGTGGGAGGAGGTATTGTTTCATGATCTCTGTGCGTATATAATGTCTGCTGCAGTTTCCACGGTATGCATCCGATGAAGTGAGCTGTGGCTCACGAAAGCTCATGCTCAAATACATTGGTTAGTCTCTAAGGTGCCACAAGTACTCCTTTTCTTTTCACCCCCAAGTCCTCTCCCAGAGTAAGATCAGCCTAGAGAGAGAGGTCCTGGTGGATAACGGGACACTCATGGGCTCCATCTCCTCTCTCCTTCCCTTCAGTGTAGATCAAAGGGTGCCAAGTGGGGAGCAAAGTAGGACTGCTAACAGCTCTCAATCAGACAAGCAAGTAGAGACCTCAAGAGTTCTAGTAGATGACTAACCATCTGAGCTCACCTGTGGCATGTCACACATAGTCCCTTGACCTCTATCCCATTACACACAAAAAGCTACATTAGAGAACGGTAAGGTTGCTAAATCAATCACTAGAGCTTCATGTTTTTTGCAAATGTGACATAAAATGAAAGAGAATTCATAAAAATGAAAAACTCATCCCACAACTGTGGCTCCTATCGCTCTTGTCCCTCAGGGCTACAGGGTGAGTCCCTCTGCAACTCCATCTCCTCTAAGGCCTCCCACTAGAGTGACCAGATGTCCCAATTTTATAGGGACAGTAAGAATATTTGGGTCTTTGTCTTATATAGGCACCTATTACCCCCTCCCCCATGCCCTCTCCTGATTTTTCACACTTGCTATCTGGTCAACCTACCTCCCACACAACTCCTATGGGTAGGACCCTACCCCCGCCTCCAGAGCCATCTAGCCCCCTGTGAGCAGGGTAAAACAAAATAATATGAAATTCAAAAATAAATGAAAAAATATTTTTAAAATAACAAAAATTTCATGGGATTCTATCAATTGCTCAAAAGCTAGGATATGGTTCAACATATGGCCCCAAACCCACTAACCTACCAACTTCTGCAACACAGGAGGCAGGGGCCTGTAGACAACAACTTTCTTCACTACACAGTCCTGATGCCTCCCCAAAGCACCATCCATCCTGTGCACTGAATAAGGCAGGGGTCCTCACCTAGCCAGTCCCAGTCTCCCTCACAACACTACTCCAGCTCCTCATCCAGTCTCTGTCTCCCCACACTGGGTCCCAGTCACCTTGCAGCCAGGAACAGCAATTGAAAGCATAGTCCTACTCAGCCCCCCACATCTTAGGCTGGAGCACTCTCAGGACAGATGGAATTCTCTGAGATGGAATCTTCGCAGAATGTAGCTGCCAAATTCTAACAGGTCTCTACTGACTATGTGCGTATGGAGACTTTTTTGAAAGGCTTATACCTTGGTCAAATATAGGTGTTTTTTCACAGGGACAGCAAAACACACATTTCTGACACAAAGGTCACCCCTGCCAATTTCAATTCCCTGCTCCAATGTATGGAGGCACTAGTACTTCTCAACAAAACGGTTGTAAGAAAAAAATTTAAAATGGGCAAAACAATATATTTTTCTCCTAGTCTGAACCATTTAACCATTTATTCTGAAACTTTCCCAAAACATTCAGCCTGAAGCAGACACCTGACAGAAAATTTAAGTCTAAACAGTTAAACTTGATAAAGTTATAAGCAACTGAAAACAAGATCTTATAATAGAAAATGTTAGGCAATCTTAACTACAAACATTGCTGCCTGTTCTGCTTATACTATTTTTGCAGAGCATTGTTTTTCCCCCTGTTGGCAAGGCTGCCCGAACTTCTGAGGCATTTGCCTGTGTATATAACACCCACCACCAGCTGTCTCTCTCTCTTGAGAGAGAAACAACCCCATCCCACCCCAGTAAACCATTCCATGGGGAGGGGGACGCAGGTGCTTCTGTTGAGCTTCTTAGCTGTCCCTTAGGAGCTACACCAGAGGCTTTTTGGGGAGGTGGATGTATAGATGAATCATTCTCTACTCCCACCTGGGTCTGTGGTGTCAACGGACCAACCAACATGGCTGACCCCACAGAGAGAGAATATAATAGATGAAAGGGCCTTGGAACACTTGGGAAAAGTCTAAAACCATTTAACTAAAAATCATGCTAGAAAGGACCCAATATGTTTGAGAACCTTGTTTTGAGAGCTGGTTTCTAGTTGATATGCTTTGAGACTGCTCAAGGTTGTTTTGGTTTTGATTTAAAATGTTTGGGTTAAAAGACTAGTGGAGCTCTCTGGAAAAGACAGCTGTGAGCAGCATAGTAGTTCTAAGTTGATGGACTGAGAAGTATAAAACCCAGAATAACTTGAAAAGGGCAGTTTGTCTTGTGTCTCTCTTTTTTTTTTTTTTTTTTTTTTTTAAATTTTGCTTCCTCTAACTTTCTGCTCCAACTTAGGGTGTTTAACTTATTCAACTTTAGGTCATGGTGTTTATCAAATATTATCAATGTACAAAAACCCGTCATACATTTGTGGGTTTGTTTGTTTTTTGCTCATGTGAGGCTATCTGCATTGTCTCCTTCCCCTGGGAGAGAGGAGGAAACTGTCAGGCTGTAGGATTTCATCTCTGATCTAGCCTTTACAACCTGACCTCAGATGTGCTAGAGAACTCTGCATATCCGAGGAGACAGCCACAACTCCAGCCTGCAGCTGGCAACAGTCACCAGCCAGCTAACAGTGGACCGTTAAAAAGAGCATCTGTTCTTTCTTCCTCTTCCACTTTCCTGTCTTCTTGTTGTTTATGTTTGTCAAGTCTGGGTTTTGTTGGGGAAAGTGATCTGACAAAACTCAGTTTTGTAAGTACATTCAGAAGATTTTGATTGTAATATTTAAGAAAGGGGTTAAGAAACAAAGCTGGTTTGGAAACTTGCAATTTTTCCTGCACACTTACTTACATTAGAAGGTTAAATATTTTACATGAGAAGTGAGCCTCAGACTGTGAAAATAACACTAAGCACTGGTTGTGGGGTGCAAGAGTAACACCTAAATAATCCATAAACCATGACATTTGAACTTGGGAGCTCTGGCAATGGAATCATGAATCTTTCCTCTTTGAGTTGAACTTAAACCATATCACTTGTTTGCTGGTGGTTAGGTGAGGATTTTCCATAATGGCACTCGTATTAATTAATTCCCCTCAAGAAGGCTGAGTCTTGCTACCACGTAAAACCCACTGTGGTCCTGCCTCTACCCAGAAGGAGAGGTTAACTCTTTCCCTGTCAGTCTCTATCCTAAATTTATACTCCATCATAGAAGCATGTAGCACCTCAGATTCCGTCCTAGCAAAATGGACCAGGACATCCAACTAACAACAAGATTGATTTTAGAAAACTACATGTAGACTATTTGGAGGGCTTTCAAAAGAAGCTTCCAAAACCTCCAGGCTGGGGCCTCTAATACATAGAAAGGTTAAAATACACTGGGTTTTGCTAGTGCGTACAGAGATGCATCTTCAGACAAATGTTGCCAGGATATTACAATCTTTTTTTCTCTTTTACCAACTGACCACAGGTGCTGGAACTAGGGGTGCTGCTGCACCCCCTGGCTTGAAATGGTTTCCATCATATACAGGGTATACAGTTAGGTTCATTGGCTTCCAACACCCCCGCTATGCAAATTGTTCCAGTGCACATGCAACTGACCAGTTTTTCTGTCAAGAGACAGCAAGGATCCAATTCTGCAGCCTTAATAATTAACATCTTGTCACTTTGAAAGAAATAGTAGGTGAGATACATTATGCTACAATAAGTATACATTGTGATTTATGCTACTAATGTACACATGTAATATTTCTTCTATTATAACAACTGATGGCTTTGTTAGGAACATAGGAATTGCCATACTGGATCAGACCCATGGAAGTATAAACGAGGAAAGTATAAAAAAAGCCTCAAATCGGTAGAGGTGGGATAATCTGCCTGTCATGAAGATCTTATCCCTAATAGTTACAGAGACAACACTACGTTCACATATGGTATTAATAATAATGTACTTAATAGCATAATGTATATGGCACTGAATCAATATATATTAAAGCTAGGATGTATTTTGTGCAAGGCTGGCTGGTAACTAGTGCTAAAAATGGAACTACCCCAGGTCAGGAAATAAAGTGAGTGCGTGCAAAGAAGAGAGAGAGAGAGAGAGAGAGATTTCAGAGAGAGAGAGATCATCTTCACAACCCGGCCTGCATAGACCAGTACACGGTAACATTTTAACATAAATTAGAGCTGGTCAGGAAATTGGGAAAAGTTCAAAATTTCTACACACGAATGGGAACAGGAAGTCCAGGGTTTTTTTCTTTTCGCCTACAGTGTTTTTTCATTTCCAACTTTTCCTGTCAGTTCCAACACGTTCAAATAGCAAATCGAGATAAGGTCCGCACGCAGAGCCAACATCCGATTCCTAAGTACAAAACACAGCGCCCCGTTCCCCCTTGTGAGGACCGGCCTCCCGCAGGCACCCGCGGCGGGCGCTGAGGACTACGCTTCCCAGAGAGCCTTGCGCAGAGCTGGCCCCGCCGCGCGGCGAGCGGGCCGGGGCGGGCCTGGGCGCCGCAGCGGCTCGGGGTTGGCTGGCGCTGCCGCCCGGGTTGGCTGGGCTCTTTTCCGTTGAGCCGCCGCTGGCGCGTGGGCTCGCGCGTCGGCAGGTGAGGGCGGCGCCCTGGGATCGCTGCTGGGAGGCGGCAGAGGGTGCGGGAAGCGGGGGCCTGGAGGAGGCCAGGGGCTCGGCTCCTGTCCACCCTTCCAGGCTGGTGGGGCAGCAGGGGGCGCTGCTGGGGTGCGGGGCAGGGACCGGGACTGGCCGGCGGGCGGGGCAGCACAGGGCAATATGAAATATAGGAAATTTCAGAACTCTAGAAAGTGGAAGGTGTTGGCTCTCAATAGCCATAGGGATGTTTTTTGAGTGAAAAATCTTAAATGTTTCGCAGGTGTTTGGGTCTCCCCTCTCCTTCCCCCCCCCCCCCACAGGAATCTAGGGACCAGTTTCATACAATTGAGAAGGAACTGCAAAAATACTACCCAGTCAGTGGTTTTTGAACATCACTGGGCATGTCTGGCACAGCCTTAGTCATTGTTCTAGCAGGGACCCTTATTCCATACAGCTCACTAGAGAGGTGTTCCTATGTTTTTCTGTCCTACCTGGCCATATGCTCTCTGCTACTAAAATGTACACTGTTGTCACTTCTGTAGGTGGTGGAGTGAGCACCATGGATTCCTCTCCAGGAATGTCCCCCACCTCCAAAAGGTGAGTATGTCTGCAGCGATCCTCAGACAGTTCCACTGCCTCCCCATTCATTTAGCTTCTAAATTGCTGTCCTGGGACTTGCTCTAACCTCTATCCTATTGCATAGCGCCAATCTTCCTTTTCAACTCGTTACGCTGATATAACGCCAGTGTCCAATCTCTCCTATCCCATAGTGTTATTACTGTTGCTGTAAGAGTCTTCTCCTCTGCATCTCCTCAACTGTACTCTAATTCAAATAATTTAAAACCATTTTTTTACCCATAAATATATTCTTATTTTCTCCCTTTGCTATTGTTTGTTTATAACTGTATTATTTAACTCTAAAGAAATGTCATTTACAGTTTGTGTGAAAGCTGCTATACAAAATGGTTGTATTAATGTATCTTCAGCACTCACCTAAGAGATCTGGAGATTAAAGATCCTGAATTCCTTGGGTTTCTTATATATCAAAAACCTGATGTGAACAGCAATATTGATAACAGATCCCTAGATGTTCCCATTAGTGTCACCATTACTTTGGTCTCATGCATTCATGAGGCATCTGGCTGGCTCTTGAGGTCTAAGTGTCCAGGCAGGTTCTGGCAATGGATTTGTTTAGAAAATAATTACGTAGTTAAGCTGCTTTCTTATTCTTAGTCCTTTTAGAGTTGACATCTGAAAACCAAGGCAGTCTACTCAACATGGCTACTAAGGGCCAAGTTTTCAGAGCGAAGCCTGAGGTCTGTGTACAGATGCACATCCACATACCAAATTTAAAAATTAATGATTCACAAAGCACAGTTTTTGTGCCAAAACTTAGAATCACAATCGCATGTGGATTTTGCATGCCGACATATATATGTGATGTTAGGGTATCCCTAAGTATCCTATTTAGGTGCCAAATACACACACATAAAAGTTTCTCTCTGTCCCTCACTGTCAGAGTGTGAGGGTTTTATTTCTGTGCAGCTTAAAAGAAAGGATGCAGTCTCCTGTTGAACCGGAACTTGTAAAATCATTTCTAGCTGCTGTTGGATCAAGGAGCAGTGATAATCCAGTAGGATGCTGAGAATGTACATTAGACTCAGCAGTCAGACATCTTTTCTGATTGAATGGAGTTTTCTTCTCTCCCTCTTTCACTTCAGTGCTCTGATACTGTCACCTCTGACATCTTTCCCTGCAGACTGACATGGCTTATTGGTACCTCACATCTTTTTCCTCTGAGTGTTTATCCTCTATCCAGTGTCTGTTTTTTGTGTGTTTCAGTCTAGCAGCAGACTTGTCTACTACCCCCAGTAACCCTTATTCTTTCTCTGCCCCTGCTTTTTCTCAGATTCCCCCTCCCCAGCAACCTTGTCCCATTCCCCTTGACCCTTCTCTCACAAAAACCACTACCCACCCTTTTCCTCCAACAGGCACCTCCTTTCCTACCACACTTGGGTGAGCAAACAGTTCCACACTAAAGAGACAAGGTGGGCGAGGTAATATCTTTTATTGGACCAACTTCTGTTGGTGGGAGAGACAAGCTTTTGAGCTACACAGAGCTCTTCTTCAGGTCTGGGAAAGGTACTAAGACCTTCACAACTAAATACAAGATCAAACAGATAGTTTAGCATAAGTACAGGTTTCAGAGTAACAGCCGTGTTAGTCTGTATTCACAAAAAGAAAAGGAGTACTTGTGGCACCTTAGAGACTAACCAATTTAGTTAATAAGTAGTTAGCACATATTCTAAGGGACCATTCAAGGTGAAGCAGCCTGTTAACACCCCTGTAGCCATAACACCGAAAGGGGGGTTAGTGGTTTACAGATGGTTGTAATAAGCCATAAATCCTGAGTACCTTTCCACACCTGAGGAAGAGTTCTATGGAGCTCGAAAGCTTGTCTCTCTCACCAACAGAAGTTGGTCCAATTAAAAAATATTACCTCACCCACATTGTGTCTCTAATATCCAACACTGCTACAATAACACTGCATAGTTCCACATTAAGGCTCTTGTATCTCCAAAATGCCACACATCCTGTTTTAGTAATTTTGAGCTCAGACTGTTGGAGGCAGAGAAGATATGAACTAAATGTATTGTAGTACTACAGCTAAACACAATTTAAAAAAAAAAAAAGGTGATATCCTTGAAATCAGATTTTTAACATTATCCTAGTGCAGTTATTGTGCGGAATTCAAACTTTGAGAAAGTAATTCTGCCACAAGAACAGTCACCATTGTAAGGTACAGTAAGCTTGTATGAATGAACGGCCATTGGTTCCTTCTTCTTCATTGTTTTAGCAGCATTTTTTGTGTGTGTGTTTTCCACTATTCTGTCCAGATTGGCAGCCCCCCATGTCTCCTCCAGATATACCAATTCTCCAACTCCAAGTCAGGGGGATTCTACTCCTCTCCCTTCCATCAGCGAGCGCCTGGCCTTCCTCCGTCCCTCCCGGGAGCTGCTGGAATACTATCGCAAGAAGATCGCTGAGTTTGATGAAGAACACGAGGACCTTTTGAAAAGGCTAGAGAGGTACAAAGGAACATATGATGAGCAGGTAAATAGCTTACTAGTGACGGACTACATATATACACTGTTGGTTGGCAGAGAAAGGGTTAATACTCTCCTTTAGTTGAAGACTTAACATCGCTGACATAATTTATGACGGGAATTGCTGGGGAATGTGGCAGGACTGAGCTGAAGGGGAATCACTATGTCTTGAATCACTAGAATTGAGTGAATTCTGGCCATCTGGTCTCCCAATTTAGGAGCCAGTGGGGAGAAATGCTGACTGTGATAAGACCTTTTGTTTTAGTTTATTGGGCTCTACTTGTGGGAAGCCTCTACTTATTGGGCTCTACTTGTGGGAAGACTTTACGCTGTTTGCGGTTTTCTTAACCTTTGAACACTGGGTTAGACGTTCACCTGGTCTGTTGTACTATCCTTTTCCTTTGCCCTGCACTCCACGGTGGACCTGTGAAGAGTGAATGGTCATTTGGCCAAAATTAATGAGCGTTTTATTGGGACAGACTTTATTTTTATTGCAGTAGCACCTGGGAGCCCCAGTCATGGACCATGACCTCATTGTGCTAGGTGCTGTACAAACGTCATAAAAATAGTTCCTAGCCCAAAGAGCTTATAATCTAAGTAAAAACTATCCTATAAAATGGAGCCTCTTCTAACAAGCCGGATGATCTCCTAATGCCACACTACATCAAGCAGATGTATAGCTGTGTCCTGTAAAATTGGCACTTTTTCTACTGAGGAGGTGTCTGGGAGAGGAGTGATCACCTTTTAAAACATTATACACTGAGCTGCTCATGAATCAGCCATCTCTAAAACAGACTGAGAACCCTCAGGAGATGTAGGAAATATCTCAGTTGCACATCTGGGTCAAAAGTGGGGAAAGGCGCTAAACACTGCAGGTCTCCCAGGATCCTCTCCTACAGGAATGCTCTTCTGAGAGTTAGTTACTTCTCCCCCATGAAAACCATGATCACTGAGCCAGTTTTGTAATTGGTCAGAACACTTATTATTAAACCCTGCAGTACCCCAACCTTAACCCATGGGAGGTTTTTGAGAATAACATCTAGGATAGGTTGCTCCATCTTGTTTAATACTTCATGATCACTTGGATCGAGGCAGAGCATTGCATGGTGGGAGCTACAGTCTCCATGGGCAGGAGCTTGCTGTTGAAGTCTTCTCCAGACAAGCTGCCAATACTGCCCTCTGCTGGTTAAAGTTTGGTGATCCAATTTAAGAGTCATTTGTGAACTTGGAAGAATTAGTTTCAGTAAATGTTGATAAATTTATTTCAAGGTACACACACAAACAGATGAAAAAAAATATTTCCATCAATGATCAAACTTTACAGATAAGCAAAGTAAGAAAAATGCCACTTGAGAACTTATTAGAATTTGATTTAAGGCTGTTTACTTTGTATGTTTTGACATATGATAATTGATGTTTTAATGGTTATAAAGCTTTAATGTTTTGAATCTCAATGTCTGCTGTCATCAGTGTTGTCTGACGTTCCCCATTCCCATAAGCTCCAGCAACTGTGGAAAATTTAAAAGTGATAAAAATTGAAAAAAATGCTTTACAACATAATTTTACTCATTCCTGAAAACTTAAATTGATAAAAAATAAAATTCTGTAGTATTCATCAATTATAAATAAAAACAAAATTCTACCAAGGCTAGTCATTTGACACACTAACAGCTGCTAGTTTTAGATGCAGACTCGGGTCATCTGAGGCAAAAGATGCTCTTTGTCTCTGTTGTCAGTACCATTTTACATGCCCTGTTTTCTCTCCATAGCACAAACTACAGTGGGAAATGCGTCAACGGGAACAGGAGATTGCCGAGTTACAGACGGCTTTGAGTGACATGCAAGTTTACCTCTTCCAGGAAAGGGAACATGTGCTGCGCCTCTACGCTGAGAATGATCGGCTGAAAATCAGGTGCAGGGCTGGAGATGGTGGGGGGAAGAGTTTTCTTCGCTGTTTCTCATGGGTAGGTAGTGTTTCTGGAAGCCACATGAATTAGTAGAGCCATCTTGAAAGCTTTTTGTTCTGTGTCTGTACAGCAGATTGCAGTGTCCTGCTCTATAACTGCAGCACCTAGGCACTATAGTACAAGTTGTTATTAATCTCACTATGGGTCTAAAGTCAGTGAAAATGGCAGGTATGCCACACTTCTGAGGATCAGGCCCAATGCAATCCTCCCAAATGCTGAACTGGACAAAAGAAATGCTGCTGTTGCTCCTCCCTTCTATGCAGATCTACTGTACTGACTATTATACAGTTATTACAAACTTCCTTTTTTAAAATGTGAAATGACTGTGCTGCAGGACTCCTAGTCTGCTGTACCAGAGAAACCAAGGATCTTGCTGCAGAACACAGGCCCACAAAACAGGGACTTGGTATAACAAAGAGCGAAAGTTTACCAACGGGTCCGGTTCAATCACAAAATCACCTACTTCAGCTTGGAGGTTCTGGTTTAACTCAACTTGACGTGAGCTTGGCATAATTCTTTAGCTGCATTTCTTCTATGCAGTTTTAGAAGCAGGAAACTCATAGAAAACACAGACCAAAGAGGGTAACTCCTCCGTTTTCCCAGAGCTACCTGTTTTGTCTTCTGGTCAACACCCCTTGTTTGTCTGTGTTAAGGTAATGAGCCTGAATAGGCTCAGCTGCACCAAATTAGCTCTCAGTAGCACATGCCTCCCTAAGATGCTTCTGAACTCCGGATGGGAATTAATCTCAGCAGTTTTTGGTTGGCTTGATGGGGTCTCCTTTTATGTGTGGCTGGTAGTGTTCTTGTGTACCCTCAAACCCTGTATATCCTAAAACCCTGTATATCCATCACATTCCGGATTATCATAGAATCATAGAATATCAGGGTTGGAAGGGACCTCAGGAGGTCATCTAGTCCAACCCTCTGCTCAAAGCAGGACCAATCCCCAACTAAATCATCCCAGCCAGGGCTTTGTCAAGCCTGACCTTAAAAATATCTAAGAAAGGAGATTCCACCACCTCCCTAGGTAAAATTGTGGTGGAATATATGAGCTTCTAAGGCAAAGGAGGTTTCTCAATCTTCTGAAAAGCAGAATAACTACAGGATTGAAGTCTTCCTAACTAGGTCATATTCCCCCTGGACTATGAGCTTTTATTAATAAATTCACAGTCCATATCCTTTCAGTATCTGCCATCCCTATATAAGCCCATGTACGACTATCAGGCAGTTCTAAAAGGGGAATTCCTCAGTGCACCAGCAGAATGGAAACTCCTCCCATTCATCTTCAGTGTTAACTGGGTCTCTTGCAGTCTGGCTTAAGGACAACATTGTCTCATGGGCTGTGACAATCTGAAGAACAGGTTAGAGCTGCTCATTTAACTACAGTAACAAACCTCTAGAGAGAGTACAGGCTTGATGTATTTTGGAATAGAAATGTGCTGATGCTTCTCCATGAATTCCAGGGAGCTAGAAGACAGAAAAAAGATTCAGCATCTCTTGGCTTTGGTGGGAACAGACACAGGAGAAATTACGTATTTTCATAAGGAGCCTCCACACAAGGTAAGACCATTCATTGGGAATGCCCGTTTGCCACCTTTCTGGCAGACTTTGCTTTGGGTTCAGCCCCTAGAAGCTCTACGCAGTGAGTTGCCAGAAAATGTGGATGTTTGAAATTCAGCTGGCTTTGTGTTGGTCTGATACACACTGTAATAAACTAGCGCTGGGACTCGAGACACAGAGTGAGGCCTTCCCACTGTCTTGGTAGTTAGTGTTGGGAAATCTGGGTTTCATTTCCTGCGCAGGAGAGCTGCAAAGGAAGTATGTTGTCCTCCAGGAGAGTAAGTGTGCCAAGTTTCAAGAGTGGTGACTCTCCGCAGCATTGTATAGGGGATCTGAAGTTGGGTGTATGTAGTCCCGTTTGACCAGAAAGGTCACGGCTGTGATGCACGGCATGAAGGGTGGGCAAAAAGCAGGGCCTCCCATGATGTGAGGGTGCAGAGTGAGACTTGAAATAGTGGGCCAGATTCTCTACTGTTGTCTAGTCCCTCCTGCAGGCTGCCAAGGTGGTGCCCAGCAAGCCTATATAAGCTTCTTCTGTGTATGTAATTGCCTATTCATTTCTTTAAGTAGTGTGTTGCTTGTTTTGGGGCTTGCCCATGCAGGCTGGGCTTCTGTCCCCCATCCTCTCTCCCCCACCCCTTTTATTTATTTATGTATTTATTTTGTTTTTAATTTCCCGCCAGAGAGCGTGATTGGCTCCCGGTTGTGTAATCTGCTTTAAAAAAAAAAAAAAAAAAGCTTTAAAAGGCTGCTTGCTGCCATCTTCACTGCTCAGGTTGTGCAAAAGTCCCGGAAAGCAGCCCTGAATTTCCTTTGTGTGTGGGAGCTTTCAGTTGGTTCGGATAGTTTAACTGGCCCTGGCAGAGGCAGTGGGAAAGGGACATGTCCAAAGCTAATTCCTTACTAGCATATTTGTGTCTTGGGGGATTGTGGCCAGCTGGTGCAAATGCTGGAGCCATTGCAGAAGCACCATGAGAACGAGGGAACTGTATCAGCTCCCTGATGGCTGCTTTTTCTTCTTGCATTGAGTGGATCTCAGCACACAAGGTAGATCTGGATCAATAGCTGCACCAAGCAGTTAGTTCTTGCCTTTGATTTCTTCCTGGGTTTAAGTGTATGGGTATACGTAGATTTGTTATACATATGTTTCGCAGTGCACCAGTTGGCAAGAGGGTAAGTGGAGGAAAAAAAGCACACTGTTGCTCTTCCTTTCCCTCCCACATCTGAATGCTGGATCTTCTGCTAAAGGCCTTGTCAAGGTTCCTTCCCCACTCTGAACTCTAGGGTACAGATATGGGGACCTGCATGAAAACCTCCTAAGCTTACTTTTACCAGCTTAGGTTAAAACTTCCCCAAGGTACAAATTATTTTACCCTTTGCCCTTGGATTTCCACTGCCACCACCAAACTTTATCTGGGTTCCTGAAAAAACGTAGTTTGGACACGTCTTTCCCCCCAAAATCCTCCCAACCCTTGCACCCCACTTCCTGGGGAAGGTTTTGGTAAAAATCCTCACCAATTTGCATAGGTGACCACAGACCCAAACCCTTGGATCTTAGAACAATGAAAAAGCATTCAGTTTCCTTACAAGAAGACTTTTAATAGAAGTAAAAAAAAGAATCACCTCTGTAAAATCAGGATGGTGAATACCTTACAGGGTAATTAGATTCAAAACATAGACAATCCCTCTAGGCAAAACCTTAAGTTACAAAAAAGACACACAGACAAGAATATTCATTCTATTCAGCACAGCTATTTTCTCAGCCATTTAAAGAAATCATAATGTAACACATACCTAGCTAGATTACTTACTTAAGTTCTAAGACTCTATTCCTGTTCTGTCCCCGGCAAAAGCATCACACAGACCCTTTGTTTTTTTCCCTCCTCCCAGCTTTTGAAAGTATCTTATCTCCTCATTGGTCATTTTGGTCAGGTGCCAGCGAGGTTACCTTTAGCTTCTTAACCCTTTACAGGTGAGAGGAGTTTTCCTTTGGCCAGGAGGGATTTTAAAGGGGTTTACCCTTCCCTTTATATTTATGACAGGCTTGATCCTGTTCCCATTGAAGTCAGTAAAGACAGGACCAATCCCCAATCATTGAGAACTATACAATGGCGGAAGAGGTGGAAAATGTGATGTTCAAGCAGCCCCATCGCAGTGGGCATCTGCTCTCAACACTGATATTCCTTTTGTAAATGTCCTTACCTTGCTCCTGCTGCACCGATGGGCATGCTGCTCTTTTAAGTCTCTTCCCACCCTTCTAGTATTCATTCTTGATGCGTGGGCTCAGAGAACAGAATGCAGGACGTTCAGGTAACAGATCTGTTTTTGCTCCTGTAGGTCACCGTTCCTCAAAAACCAATCAAATCGAGGGATCCACATGAACGGAGCAATACTTACACTTCTAGAACAGGTACCCCAAAAGTGATTTTCCATACCAGCCAAAAGACAAGTACTTGGAGGGTGGCTGAATATCACGATAGTGCTGGATGTGTGAAAAGCGTGCAGTCGCCATGAGTTCCCCAAAGCCAGTGCTAGAATGTTTCCTGCCGTGACTTCTGCTGGAAGATGCTGTGGTGCAGTAGCTGCAAGCTCTTCCTTTCCTTCAGGGCAGCCAGCACATCTACAATATTCCCTGCTGGGCAAAGTCTCACGCATAGGCTCGGAGAAAGGAGTGGAGTAGTTATCTCAATTAATCTTGTTCTCTGCAGCAGGCACTAAAAGAAGCACATCAAAACCAGCAGCAAAAGGAGAGAAACCAGAAAGTCCTGAGAGATATCACAGAGACAATCAAACACTCTTACTGCAGGTAAAAAAGCATTTACTGCTCAACAGATGCAACTTCTGCCCATGCATGGTGTGACACGGGTGCCTTCACTGGAAATGGCAAGGTCAGGGCATGCTGCAAAAGGGAGAACAGATTTTCCCAAAGACCGGTGGTTAACACTCACCAACCAGTCACAAACTGCTGCTGAGCCCTACATTGGTTATCAAGAAAAAGGGGGGAGGGGGGACATGGGAATCACACAGCCCCCTTACTGCATTCCAGTTCTCTGGCTCCCAATCAGCACCTTGGTCCAGTACGAGGAGTTATATCAAAACTCTGCTCACATATACAAAATGTTCTTCTGACCTGAAGAGACAGCCACCTTACCACGTCAGTGTAGGTTTGGATCTTACCCAAAATACCACCCTGCCAGCGAATCCTTTAGTGTCTAAAACTAAAGATTTATTATAAAAGAAAGAACAAGATGAGTTGTTAAATGGTAAAGCAATTTGGTACATACAACAGACTACAAAGTCCATATTGTATCAGGTTTTTAGCAGTGTTGGTGAGTGTGCTGGCTTGAAAGTCCCTCTAGAACATATCCACAGCTTGGATGGGTCGTTCAGTCCTTTCTTCAGAGCTTCAGTTATAGAAAATTTACTCCAGAGGTCGGAAGCGGAATTGAAGACAAAATGGAGAAGATTCATAATGCCTTTTATATTCTTTTGCCATGAAGCTTGCACTTCCTGTGTTCCAAACACAAGTTTCACAGCACATGGAAAAACTTTAGAGTTTTCTGTCTTAGGCATGCCCATACATGGCTTCCTGGCTCATCAGATGTGGTCCCTGATCTTTTAATGGGTTTATTATACAGCTGATGTCCCTTGATGGGCCATCAAGCAGGCTAGGTGATGCTTATGGCAATCTGTCTGGGGGTGTCATCCAGATGCATAACACCAGTTTGAAATACAGATATATACCCTATATATCTATAACTCATAATACAAAGGTGATACAGTTTGCCAAGTATGATAATCTGGTTTATGTTTGTAACATTTTTGCAGTTACATCACATGGCGTATCTGATCAGATTCCTTGCAATTTTATAATATTGGTGTTCCACATATTCCATACAGCGTCACACATGGGTTTATATAACAGCCAAACATGCTGCTTTCCTATGCCCTCTATCCTTACACTGGGCATGCCCATCTCCACTTTATGCTACCCTGGCAATGCCTCCCACTTACTCCCAATCTATTTAGCTCTCTCTGCAATGGATTTACAAGGGCAGTAAGATTGGCATGAAACAAGAAAAGCTTTTGGGTGATGAGAGCCCCAGGGCTGCTCTAAATTGCAACAGGGGCCAGAATTAGTGATGCACAAAAGTGACTTAAATTCACCTTTGCCCCATCACTTTCCTTCCTGTGCCCAATGCAGGAAATGAATGAAGAATCTGGCCCACCTTCTGTAAAGTGTGCCTCTCACATGGGATAGGGAAATCTGTTACAGGAAACTTCTAGATCTCCAAAGCAGATTGCTCCTAACTTCAAGGCCTGCAGAGAAATTAGACCTATATAATATAGCATTATAGGGCAGGGGGTGTTTTCTCACTGTGTCTGTGCCTAACCTGGAATTTAAACAGGGCTCTCAAGCAGGGCAGCATGCCTGGTGTATGATCTCACTCTATGCCTTCCCTGTGTGCCAATCCAGGTAGAGGCCCTGCAGGCTCAGATGGAAGAGCAGACCCGGTTATCCAAAGAGCAGCTTGATGCACTGCTAGAGGACAGGCGGATTCACGTAGAGGAAGTGCAGGTCCAGCATCAGAGGGACCAGGACAAGATCAAAACCCTGACAGATAAGTGAGTGCAAGAGAATGGTTCTGGTTTAATCGTGGCAGGAAACCCAAAATATAAATATCACCTATAGGTTTGCAACCTAAGGGCTTGGCTACACTTACATTTTATAGTGCTCTAACTTGCTGGCTCAGGGTGTGAAAAATCACCCCCCTGAGCGCAGCAAGTCAGAGCGCTTTAAAGCGCTAGTGTAAATGGGCTCCAAGCGCTGGGAGCCGGGCTGGGAGCTAATCTCCTCGTGGAGGTAGAATACTAAGAGCGCTGGGAGAGCTCTCTCCCAGCACTCGCGCACAACTGCACTTGCACTTCAAAGCGCTGCTGCAGAAGCACTCCCACGACAGCGCTTTGAAGTTTCCAGTGTAGCCATGTCCGAATAGGCAGAAAAGCAGAGTATTTGGTCAGTTGCTTTGTATGTAATTGATTGAATAAACTAAAAATCCTCTTTCATCCCTGGAGAACTTGGCCCTTGAAAGTATGCGAGGGAAGCTCCTGGCCTCTCTCATCCCATGCCCACTCCAACTCCCAGTGAGAGTACAGGTGAATGATGAAGGGAATTGGGGAAGGCAGTGATATTATTACTTTAGTTCAATCCCTGTCTTCAGGCTCCATCAGACTCAAAACCTGCTGTATGAGAGCACGCGTGACTTCCTTCAGCTGAAGTTCGATGCACGAGCCAATGAGAAATCATGGATGGCAGAGAAGGACTGTCTGTTGAGGAAGCTTGATGTAAACAGGGATCAGCTTATCAGCAGGGAGCCAGAGAGAGAGAAGAAGAAGGAGAGAGACATCAAGCCGATTTCTCAAGCAGAGAGTGAAATGTGGAAAGCACAGAGTGGAGAACTCAAGGTAATTGCTGTTCCCTTGGAAAAGAAATCCACCTGTTTATGGATGGAGGTTTGAGAGAGTCTAGGATTGGATCTCACCATGGTACTTTACGGAGAAACTGGTGTTTCCTGTTCCCAGGATACATTTGTTATGCTGACTGAGGCATAGAAAGATGCACTTTACAGGGAATGTTGTTGCTTATTAACTTTAAAGAGAAAATGCTATGAAGCCAGAACTCTGTTAGTTTATAATGGCGCTTCACGGGGTTTTGTCTCACAAGACTAATATCCCCCACTCCTTCCACACCCAAAACAAGCATGTAGCTCCTCAGCTTGTTCCACCTGCCAAGTGGCATATCGTTGCACAGCTCTCAAACTCTTTATTAGGACTAGATATTTCCAAGCATGAAATGGGCAACCATCCTTTGGAATAAATTCTGCTGACTGTTGGTAGTAAGAACACTCTGTGTTTTGCCTGCTGTTGTGAGAACACTGCTTTTTTGGGAATAATGCCACTCACAATTCTGCTGCTCCCATCCAGCTGTCAGGTTTTTTTTTCTTCAGCCACTAATGTACTTGAAGGGAGAACCATGGGAACTTGTACTGCCCTCATATTACATGTACCCATAATAGTTTACTAACCACAGTATATACCTGAAGTAATTCCTTTATCCACCATTGAAATGCAGCCACCTCTGAGATGGAGAGCAGCAATCAAACAGAGGTGAGATGGGGAATTTTTGACTGAGGACAGTGGGACCAACCCTTGCTTTTTTTTGTGGTTTTTTTTTTTTAAAAGGGTTGTGGGTTCTAATGACTACATGGTGGCTAGAACCATGTTTGTTTTGTATTTTAATGTCTCATCTGAACAGAGTTGATCCTGTAATTTGAAGGAGTTTTGGCATTCTTAGATCTCTAATCTTTCTTGTCTGGCTACCTGCACCAACTCCAATTTCTAGGGTTACTCATTTGGTTATTTTCTGTCATGATATCTCCACCAAAGAGCACTCACAGAGTTGTGACAATTTTCTTGCGTCCCACCTTTGTTCTTTAGGGAGGGAAGTGCTGTGTGTACTGGCTACCTGCCTCCAGCATCTATTAATGCTAATTCTTTCTCCTGGGCTCCAGTCCTTACAGGAGCAGCTAACACAGGTGCATCGATTGGCAGATATGTACCGAGAGCAGTGTGTTGCTCTGGAGGGTGAGCTGGCTAGAATTCGTGAAGAAGGAGATGTTGGCCGAGAGCTTTTCAAGGTAACTCCTCTGTCTGCTGCTGCGGGATGGGTTTGCAGCCTCTTGGGGCTGTCTGATTTCCCCTTCTCCATATTCATGTTTGTTGATGGTGCCCTTCCCTACAAATTCTATTGTGCTTTCCTATCCCCAGGAGCGCTCAGAGAAGATGGGGAAGCGTTTGCAGCTAATGACCCAACGATATGAGGCCCTGGAGAAACGGCGTAGCATGGAGGTGGAGGGCTTCAAGAATGACATCAAGCAACTTAGACAGAGGTTGAAGGACATAGAGAAACAGCTCTTCAAGGTAATAATTGGTCATCTTTGGGGCAAGGGCTGAGATGGTATTGGCCCAGCGGGTGGGGGGAGAAGTGTCAGGGTTGAATATTCAAATCTTTGGAGCCTAAGTTATTGGAAATTCCTGTTTTTTCTTACTTGGGCCTTTAGAGACTTGTAACATATGGTACCTTTCAGTGTTATGGAAAGTTACAGGTTATATGTATATTGTGAAGAGAAAAATATTCATAGTTGTTAATTGAATAGGCATCCAGATTACTAGAGATTGGTGTGATTATACAGTGGATGTAGTTAAGGCACCTAGTTATGCTACTTCTTTAAGGCTTTTCATCTGCTATCTCCAAGCACTTTACAAAATCTGATTCTCCCAACACAATTGTGAGGCAAGTAAGTATTAACTGCAGAAGTATATTCTGTATGGAGTGTTGCAGACCTGTTTGGCTTTTCTCCTGACAGTTCTAGATATTGATTCTGCTCTTAGTGAAGTCAGTGAGAGCTTTGTCATCAAGCTCAGTGGGAGCAGACCTGAGTACTTGGTGCAAAGAATTAGGGCTCAAAGTGCAGAAGTAAGTTCAGCTGGTCATACATTGAATATAATGACTTCGGGAATATCCTGCTTAGCAAGGGTTATTCAAATGATACCACAAGAAATGGTTAACTTGCAGAAATTAAGAAAAGAAAAGGAAATGGTTAATCAAATCCACGTCAATACCTAGTTAATTATTTCAGCCTAATTGTATTGTCCTATTCTTATTACATCCATGACCACAAGGGGGTGCATTAATAAAATACAACATACAGGCTAGACCAATGGTTCCCAAACTGGGGTTCGTGAACCGTTGGGGGGTTCGCAGAACGTTACGGGGGTTCACCAGAAAAATTTCACTAATGGCGGCCAGAGGACCCCGGACATTGGAGGCAGCAGGTGGGACCTGGTTGCGGGGCCGCCAGCCCGAGCCCGAGCAGTCTGCGGGGCTGGCAGCCCGAGCTCAGTGGAGCTCAGTTGACCGGGGTGATCGTGGGGCTCCTACTGCTGGACCCCACTGGAGTGCGGAGCTGGCAGCCCAGACCCCGGCGCAGGGCCAGTAGCCTGAGCCCTGTATGGGAAGGGCGGCAGCTGAGACCCCAGGTGCGCAGGTGGCAGCTCAGACCTCTGTCCTTGTCAGACAGGGGAAGTTGGCATCGAGGGTAGAGTGAGCAGGGGCCACGCTGTATGTGGGGGGTGGTCCAAGCTAACTTGTCCCTTGCAGGGCACCCTCCTAGGGACGGACCTTGTGGCGGAAGTAAAGCTGTTTGGAAAACAATCAAACTGAGTGTTTCAGTAATCTTCATGACTTCCTGGCAGAACATAAACTTCAGTTGGATCAGTGCAATAAAACCAATATAATTGCACACCTAAAAGGACTTTGCACAACTTTCAGGGAATACTTTCCAGCTATGTCAGGCGATAATGACTGGATCTGCAACCCTTTTGAGGATACCACTTTCTCAACACCGATATTGAACACTGAGGCAAAAGAGAAATTGATTGAGATGTCCTGTGATTACGAACTGAAAAGGAGTTTCAGAAATCTGTCATTGATCAACTTTTGGCTGAGTTTAAGAAATGAGTACCCCCTTCTGGCAGAAAAAGCTGCTGTAGTTTTGTTACCATTTTCAACAACATACTTATACGAGAAAGCGTTTTCTTCCTATGCACATCTGAAAACCAAATACAGAAACAGACTTGATACCGAACCAGACCTGAGACTTTCTTTCTCCAGTGGTTCCAGACTTCCAAGAGTTATGTAGATCAAAGCAAGCGCATCCATCACACTGAGAAAATATAAACTTAAATCCCTGGAAATATTCATTTTTAGGAGGGGGTTCACAAGATTTTACAATTTAGTGAAATGGGTTCGCGGGCTGTTTAAAGTTTGGGAACCACTGGGTTAGACATAACAACCATGATCCTAAATCATTCTGGTTATTCTACATCAAAAAGAACTATTCGATAACCAAATGCAGTCTTCTGCCAAGGCAAGAAGATATCCTCACTACCACCTGTAGAGGATGTCTCCTGAGACTACGATTGAGACTTAAGTACAAAAAAGCTGGGTAATAAATATATAATTTGTCACATTTTAATGAGTCCTTTTAAATTATACTGGAAATGATTTGTTAAACAGCTGACCATTTACTGATACATTTCAGGTTACACTTTAGAGATCCCTCTTCCATTGCACTGGTAGGACACCCCCATGATACTAACAAGACACCTCCATTATCTACACTCCATCCTAGAGCTTCGTTCAATGTATGATGTCAGGGCAGCTCAGACACACTGGTTGTAGTTCCCCTTGCTAGGTACAATGAATCTCCTTGGACAGGATTGCTCTCTTCATAATTTTCTCCAGATCATACACCACATACCAAGTCTTTCTGGTTTGTTTTTTTTTTTCCTCTCTCTAGGTGACCATGAACATTGGCCCAGACCAGGACCTTGCAATTCTGCATGAGGTCCGCCAAGGGAACAGACGAACAAGGAAAATTCAAGGGGAGCTAAGAAACCTAAAGGCAAAAATCTATGGCTTGGAGAACGAGTTACGGATCTGCTGACACAGATGTATGACCCAGCACAACGGTGCACAGAACATGACCAGTGCTAGACTAGGAAGGTCACATTCTCAAGGAAAACTTCCATAAATCTGCTTTCCAGCATCCTGTGACAGAAGCTTAAGAACACGTAACCTGCTGTGAATCAACAGTATATCAGTGTGCTGTGGGGCTTGGATAGTTTGTGGAATTTAATGCTAGGTTGCGGGGGGCGGGGCATTACTTTCATCTTAGCATGCCTTGCTCTACTACCTTTCCTAATCGATGAGATCATTTGTAGATTGTATTGAAGTCCTCTTGTAACTTATATAATGTTTCCATAGGACATGGTTACAGCCTCTAGGCACCTTCACCTACTATGAGCACAGGGCAAAATGTACTGTTGTCCAGAATGCAGCCAAAAACAACAAAAGCTACATGTGTAACTAATAATCATGGAGAGGAACTAGTCCTCCAGGACTCAAGTGTTCTCTACTGTTGCTGTTCTAGAAGCGAGGGACTGTATAAGGCCCTGTTCTACAGTAATGGGAACTGTATTAAGAAAAGCAGTTTTTAAACAAAGACAAACCCTAACCCTAAACCTTATTATGATGTCTAATGCACCCAGGACATAATTTGCATTTTCTAAACAAGATACCTACTTAATCTAGAAAGTGTCTATTTAATTCTGCCTAAACACTCTGAAGTCCTGTATATCCAGGGCAGCATAACCGTGTTTTCAAATTGCTTCTCTTCCCATGATTCTCTGCCAGCCTGGACAGGCCAGAAAGGGAAACATTCACATTATGAAGCTCTTTCTTTTGTGAGATCTCTTCTCAAACCTCCACCAACCTTCTCTTACCCCCCACTCCAAAGCTGTGTCGCCTCTAATGCCTTTTTTCCCTCAAAGGTCCCACTCTAGGCACCATCAGTTCATCTCCCCCAGTGGTGGAAGTCCTGATATAGACCAGCCATTGCCCTTTTAACTGCCAGTGTTGTCTAACCCTACAGCTCTGAACAACACAGTGGCTAAACTACTAGCAGCCACTGGCACCTCTCACTGCTGCGGGATATAAATGGGCAGTAACAATGGTGGAAAACTTCTGAAGGAGCATAAAGGCTAGAGCAGTTGAGGCCAGAGAGCTTGTTTATACTATAAATACAACCCTGGTTGCATGACCCTTGTCCCCAAACCAACTAACAAGATGATTTCAGTTTGGAGTATCGGCTAGACCTTAGCAGTAGTTTGTAACTAGTCTAAAGCCTAGTTGTATTTGCAGGGTATACAGTCCTTTATTTGTAATCCAGCATATTGTAACTTAAACTCACCACCTTACTTCTTCCTACACACAAACTAAGGGAAGAAGACTTACCCTGTTTATAAAGATGTCTCAGTGCCTTGATAGAGTTTCTTGCTGTAACTCTATACCATTCTTGCCAAATGTGATGCCAGAAAGCTGATCCCTTTCTGGGATTTCTGGCATACCCCACCAGGGCCATGAATTTATTTTTTTTTTACTGGACAAAGAATCAATTTTTGTGATTTTTATTTTTTTTTATTTTTGTAATCCAGACTTTTACAATTAAAAATGAAGTTGGAAGATTCCTTGTCAAGGGGTTCCCTTTCTTCTCTCTTTGAAGGGTGTGGCTAACACAGGTGCCTCCTCCCCGTTCCAGTCAGATCTACTGCTAGCACTCCTGGGATAACTATAGCCAACCTTAGTCAGGCTGGTGGGTGGTAGCCAAAGTGGGTCCTGGCTCATACTGTGTGTGAGAGGAAGGTGAGGCAAAGGGTCCTCTTGCACTGGTGCATTCTCTTTGTAACAGGCTTGCTGCGTCTGACAATACCTGCAAATTAACCAGGTGGGTGGGGGCATATTCCTGTGGCTAGAGGTCCTAATAGTCTCACCTTACTAAACAAGAGTTCCCTTAAGTCAATGGGAGTTCTCATATGCTCTCACTGTGAGTTAGGATATCAAAATCTGGCTCCTGATGGTCTTACTGCAGCACACTGTGTAATGGAATATTAACTGCTTGTGCTGCAGCTTCCACCTACCTTAAGTTTTTGCTCATAAGAAGTCAGCACAGCAGTTTCCTGAGCTTTGTCAATTTGTCAAATTCCTCCGAGTTAAGGAATTGCTCATCGCGTTTGATATTTGCATTTCTTCACATGACAGCCAGTAGATGCACGTTGTTTAATCCCGGGTTATTTAAATACGTTTCTCTCTTCACAGCTCCCTATTTCCAGTACTGAATGTCATGTGAAAGGCAAAACCCAGCAGCGAGGCAATGGCCCTGTGCGTACGGCAAAGCAAACCTCACGGTACTGCTGTGCCACCAAGGCATCTATCCAGCAAAACCCAAGTGCTGCCCAAGCTAAGTGAGCTGTAGCTCACGAAAGCTTATGCTCAAATAAATTTGTTAGTCTCTAAGGTGCCAAAAGTGCCACTCCTTTTCTTTCTATTTTCAGTGTGTCCCTGGGACGTGAACCCCTCCCCGCTGCAAAAGTTATACTAATGTTGACTCTGTAAATCCCTTTCTTTATTTTGGAAACTGTCATAGGTCACCTCCAAGGGCAGAAGGCACAAAGTGTTACTTTTGTTTTTCCTATATCTGATAAATTCATGTGATGTATATTTAAAAGCATTGCTTCCAATGTCCGTTTCCAAAACAAACCAAGCCAGGGGCCCAAAGCTCAAAAGTGACTCTAAATAACCGATCACTGTGCCACTGACAGATCACAAAAAGTAGTAGCCAATGGGGAATCATCATCAAATGGGAGTGTTTCTGGTGGGGTTTCATGGGGAAAGGTACTAGGCCAAATGTTTTTAACATCGTAATCAATGGTCTGGAAGTAAATATAAAATTACTGCTGATAAAATTTGCAGATGACACGAAGTCTGGCGGAGTGGTACATAATAAGGAGAAGGCCATCAGACAGACCCATCAGGACTGGTTGGTAAACCAGACCCATTCAAGCAAAATGTATGTTATTACAGCCAAATGCAAAGTTATCCAACTAGGAACAAGGAATGCAGGCTATACCTATAGAATAGGGGAACTGTATCCTGGAGAGCAGGGACTTTGAAAAGGATTTAGGGGTCAGAGTAGAGCAGCTCAAGCAACTCAACATGAGCTCTCAGTGAAATCCTGTGGCAAAAAGAGCTAATGATGTGATCTTTGAATGTATACGCAAGGGATTAGTGAATAGGAGTAGAGAAGTATACAGCATTGGTGAGACTGATACCAGAATATTGCGTACGATTTTGGTATCCACATTTTAAAAGGGATGTTAAAACATTGGAGAATGACTATTTTTATGGCTATAGTCAAGAAAATGCCTTGCAGTGAGACCTAAAGATCTCCATCTGTTTAGCTTCTCAAAAGAAGATTGAGAAGTGACTTGATTACAGTGTGTAAGTACTTTAACAGGCAGACAATACCAAATACTAAAGGGCTCTTTAGCAGAGAAAGGCATAACAGAACCCAGTGGCTGAAAACTGAAACCAGACAAATTTAAATAAGATGCAAATCTTTAACAGTGAGGGTGATTAACCATTGAAACAAACTATCAAGGGAAATGGTGGATTCTCTCTCTCTTGATGTCTTCATATCAAGATTGGATGCCTTTCTGGAAGATATGCTTTAGGCAAACAAGTTATTGGGCTCCATACAGGGGTAACTAGGTGAAATGTAATGGCTTGTGATACACAGGAGGTCGGATTAGATGACCTAAGGGTCTCATCTGGCCTTAAACGCTGAATTTTCTATAAGTGGAATATTTGTAAGATTTTTTTTCAGCAATCATGCAGTTGCACCTCTATCAACAACATAATATAGAGCCATTACCTCAGCTAACCTGCTCAGAGCAAGTTTACGTGACTCAGAGGTAAAAACACCGGTGTCCAGTCTATGCTACTGCTTACACCTTTAGTAGCACTGCTTTGGAAAAGCACTTACAAATTTTGTTAGTGTAGATGGACCTTGTGCATGCAGTCCAGCATTCAGGAGCTGGAATGTACCAATCCAGTAATCATAAACAACTCTATGATAACGCAAGCAGACACTTCAACAGGATATGAGACTGAGCTCAGTTTTAACTTTTAAAGCCTTTAATTGACTTTAAGATCCCCTCCTGAACGTCTTTCCTGTACAGTTAGATTTTTGCATATTATGAGATGGTGTAGGGGGTTCAGATAATTTCTTATAACACAGATGTATTTAATAGTGTCTGTTATAGCAAAATACATAGATAGGATCCTGGCCAGTATGCAGGTCAGGTTCTCCCACATTCAAAACTGCATAATCACTAGAGTTAGTTGAAAATTTTCAGTTGATTTTTTTTTTAATTGACAAAGGGCCTTTTTAAAAACAAAAAATGGTATGAAAGATGGCTTCAAAAAATTTGACGCTATTTTGTGCTAATATTCATGTCACTCTGACTTGTAATTCTTCCCCTGTTTTCCCCTTGGAAAATGGCGCAGCCTAAACAGCCATTCCCAAGCTTGTGGGCCAAGTTGCCACGGTACACAGCTTTAAGATGTCCTACTAGCTGGGATTCTGCACCACGTATTTAGTTTACAGCAAGGGTGGAAGGGACATGGGGTTGGAGATTATAGTGACCTGCAAAATAAAAACAAGTGAGGCTTTCACTTGTGCCCCTTTTTAGTGCAAGGCCTGAGCCAAAAAGGGAAAGGTGATTTTTCCCTATTTGCATTTCCCCTTGGTGCAGGCCTTCTTTGCTCTGGAAGCCTCCTTGGTGAATGAAGAACTAGTAAAACTATGCCATCACAAGTGACTGAATGCTGAGCAACTGATAGGACAAAGGATTTTTAGGCAGATTTAAAACTTTTTTATTGGTAGCTTTTTGTTAATCGTTCCAGTGACTAGTGAACTATCTGAAGAAAGGACCTCTTTGCTGAAGTGTCTGATAAGCTGCTCACTCAGTTAAGTTGTACAAATGCATGCTTTGAACCCCCCATACTAGCAGTCAGGCTGCATACTCAGGGCCTCTAGACAGGAATTGGATGGTCACTTAAACTGAGTAAAGGCCATGTCTTGTAAACTATTGCTTTGGGTGCAGGGAACACATTACAAGTTATTAATAATAAGAGTGTATTATTAAGAAAATCCAAGTAGGTGCTTTGTTATACAACAGCTTCAATACCAATGCAAGTGGGTATCTCACTACACAGACAACAAGGGCTGCATTGATTGAAATGAGTGTGATTTAAAGAACAAGCTTGGATTTCACCAACCATACTTATCCAGGACTCTCTGAACTCTGCTATATTGATTTAGAGATCTGATGCCATTGCTTTTACTGTAAACATCTGTCTTAGGCTGTGGTTATAACACACAATACCAAGGTTCTGACACACTGTCCAGTACATCATAATTTTTCAGGTGTAGATGTGAAAGTTGCAAGCTGCTCAGCATTTTCAGAGTTTTATTTTGTATATCATCTTTCATAAAAACTACTGCAACCATGTGCGGCTGGTGATCCAGCCGACTGGGAAGGCTAACCCCTGGCCCCTCCCCTTGTGCCTGAGGCCCTGCCCCTCCCCTTCTGCCTCCCCCTCCCCTGCAGGAGCCCAAAGCACCCCCACCTTGGCCCCAGCGCCGGACAGCCGGGGTGGGCGAGGCCCCAGCCCTGGTGTGCCGCAGCCTCAGCGCCCACAGTCCTTGGGCGGTGCGGTCACAGTACTCCCAGCCCCAGGGCTCCAGAGGGCCGGGCACTGCGGTCGCCGCACCCTCTCTTGCGGTGCTTGTGCAGCCAGCACCCGGCAGGCAGTGCGGCCCAGCACCAGCCGCCCCAGCGGCCCCAAGTTGCTGCAGGAGGCACGCTGGCCTGGGGGCAGGGCCACGGTAGGCTGTTTGGGGAGGCAAAGCCTCCCCTTGCCTACGATACCCACTGCACGTGACTGCAACATGCTTTACAGCATTAAACAACTGGATAGTATATAAATTACAGAAAATAGTGCACGTGCAACACATTTTGTAATTTAAAACATTTAGTCATAAGGCATATAAGAAAGAGAGAAAGGAGGAAATGTAGGAAAGGAAGAAAATATATTTTAATATGAAATTTAAAAAAAAAAGAGGGAAGTTGAGATTTTCAAGGGATTCAGACATGTACCTTCCATTACAATTAATGAAAAGTGCGTACAAATCCCATAGACTTCTTTGAAAAATCTCAACTGGAGAATCCATGAGCTGGAGAGATGCAGAAAATCTGCTCCTGATTGCAGGCACTGAAAATGCAAACTGGAAAGAGATGAAGAGAAGACAGGCTCTAGATATGCAAAGTGAGGCAATTTTGGGGTCCTGAATGGAGAAAGAGCATGAAGTACCTTGCAGTCAAGGATGGTAGTTTTCATCTGGATCTTGAAATCAATGAGCCCGTGGAGATGTTTGGAGAAGGAGCTGATATTAAAATTGTCAGTACATCTAAAAAGGATCGGGAGCTTCATGCCACACATTCTGGATAGGGTTGCCAACTTTCTAATCCAGCGGTTCTCAAACTGTGGGAGGGGACCCCAAAGTGGGTCACGACCCTGTTTTCATGGGGTTGCTACAGCTGGCATTAGGCTTGCTGGGGCCTGGGGTCGAAGCCAAAGTCCAAGCCCCACCACCTAGGACCAAATCCTGAGCCCCACCACCCGGGGCCAAAGGTGAAACTCCTGGGGCTCAGGCTTTGGCTTCACCCCTGTGTGGCAGGGCTCACATTACAGGCCACCGCCCCAGGTTTGAAGCGCTTTGGCCCCCCACTGCCTCAGTTGCAGGCTTCGGTGGGCTAAGGCTTCATTCCCCCTCCTGGGGTCATGCAGTAATTTTTGTTGTCAGAAGGGGGTTGCGGTGCAACGAAATTTGAGAATCCCTGTTCTAAATGCATAAAACTGAACACCCTAGCCCTGCCCTTTCTCTGCGGTCCCACCCCCCCCGCTCACTACATTCCCCCTCACTTTCACTGGCTGGGGCAGGGGGGGTGGGATGGGGCAGGGGGTGAGGGCTCCAGAGTCGGACCAGAAATGAGGGGTTCAGGGTACAGGAGAGGGCTCCAGTCTGGGGCAGGGAGTTGGGGTGTGACACAGGGTGAGGCCTCCAGTTGGGGGTGCAGGCTCTGGGGTGGGGCTGGGGATGAGGGGCTTGGGATGCAGGAGGGACCTTCAGGCTGGGGGGTGGGGCCGAGGGATTTGGAATATGGGAGGGGGCTGCAGGTTGAGGCAGGGGGTTAGGGTGTGGGAGGGGGATACCGGCTGGGGATGCGGGCTCTGGAATGGGGCTGGGGATGAGGGGTTTGGGGTGCAGGCAGGGGCTCCAGGCTTGGGGGTGGGGCTGGGGGATTTGGAGTGCAGGAGCAGTCTGCGGGTTGAGGCAGGGGGTTGGGTGCAGGAGGGGGTGCAGGCTCTGGGGTGGGGCCGGAGATGAGGGGTTCAGGGTGTAGGAGGGGGCTCTTGACTGGGGTAGGGAGTTGGGGTGCAGGGGGGGTGAGGGCTCTGGCTAGGGGTGTGTGCTCTGGGGTGGGCCCAAGGATGAGGGGTTTCAAGTGCAGGAAGGGGCTCCGGGTTTGGTGGAGAGCTCAGGACTTTTAACAGCCCGGTCAGCGTTGCTGATCAGAGTCATCAGGGTCCCTTTTCGACTGGGTGTTCCAGTTGAAAGCTGGACACCTGGCAACACTAATTCTGGAGTCTGGACAGCTGCGACTTGGGGAGTTCCATAGGCAAAGCCTGAGGAGATAAAAGCATGAATCAAGCTTTCAGCAAACGGGGCAGGGAGTGGGGGAGTGCTGACACAAGGGTGTGAAGGAGTACGTATGCACTATGGAGACTATACCGTTATAGCTATACCAGCGTAGCCCCGTAGCATAGACATAGTCTACACCGACAAAAAG